TTCACTGCCTGTCTTTAAAGGCACCGTTCCATATGTTGTCCTGGAGGCCAAGTTGAAGTTACACTGGGTGGTTGGCTTCTGTATATGGAACTGGCACAGGGGGCAGGCACCATTTTGTTGTATAGCAGTAGTGGGCAACTCCCACCATTCCTCACCATTGTTTAGAAGGCTAAGGCTGATGGGAGTTGCTATCAGACAACATTTGGAGTACCACAGATGTTCACTCTTGTTCTGAAAATTAGGTACCAAATGTCTTGAGTTCATTCTTATGTACTGTTGATCCTTTGCTGCCAGATAACCCATACATATAGGATCAAAAAAAGAGGACTCACTGTGGAATTAACAGGCAGCAGAGCGGGGCTGGGCTGCAATCAGAAACTGAGTGAGTACTTGCTTCATTTGTGCTTGAAAGAAGCATCTCTACTTCAGATTCTTATAGCACCCTTAGTCAAGTGATGGATCATCAGGTTCAGTGGTAAGTAGTTCCGGGCTGAAGGATACAGCAATAATTTTCTGCTTTCTTCTGTGCATAAAATAGTACGTTCTAATACATAGTACTCTCTATTGCCCCATGAATGTGAATGGCATTTCACTATGTTACTACTATGTAACACCATGCCCCCCTGAACATGCTTGGTTTTTGCCTAATTTTAGAAGGTAAGCAAGTTGGGCCTGGTTAGTACTTACATAGGGGATCTTTAAGAAATTATGGATGCTAGACTGGGCAACACCTCAATAGTACAGCATGCAGAAGTTCCCAGATTCAGTTCTCAGTATCTGAAGGTAGTGCTGGAAAGATGCTTGCCTGAAACCATGGAAATCCACTGCCAATCACTGTTGACAGTAGTGGGCTTGTTGAATAAATGGCGCACTGAATGTGCAAATGCACTACTGTGACTTGAATAAAGTAGGTGTGATCATATCCCATTTTACTAGTGAGGCTGTAATTCATGTCACCAATGGTAAGGAACTGTGTGACTCTTATAGATAATAATCACTGATATTAGATGAGAGGATGTGATTACATGTGTCCAGGTGCTTTTTATCTCTGATGTGTCATCCAACATATAAATCCCCAGAATGATGTGCACCATTACAGACAAAATCCATGAATTTTAGCTATTGCTGTAAGACCAAGACTAATGTCCAGAAGACCTGGAAGGCTGGAGTACAGGTATATGTGGAACTGGCATAATTGCTACTTTCAAGCATTTTCCTTTTGCTGCCCTAGATTTCCTGGAAAGGGAGTCGGCTGTGAAATACTTGGTGACTAGTAAGAAAATTCTTTCCCCTCTGAATGATTCAAGCCAGGTTGATCTAGCCCAGTGGTTCTTAACCTTTGTAACTCGGATGCTTTTGAACTGCAACTCCCAGAAATCCCAGTCAGGATAGCTGGTGGTGAAGGCTTCTGGGAGTTGCAGTCCAAAACTCCTGAGTAACCCAAGGTTAAGAACCAGTGATCTAGCCCATTGGGTACAGCAAGATTAATCCTAGCAATGATGGCTAGCCATTTTCTTTTTCACTTTGTTAATATGTTAGTTATGCTCTGTGTTTATTTATTAAGCCCTGGTTATTTCATTATAACATTCATTATACTTTATGGTTATTCAACTGTTTTTGATGTAGTCAGTGAGAAAAAAAATGTAGAGAAATATATACAATAGGAAAAATGTATACAAAACAACTCACAAATTTCTATGTAGAAAGTGAGAAAGGTCTTGAAACCCAGATGGAAGGAGGGTGCCAGTGGGATTTTGAGAAACCAAATGAAAGCAACCTTTTGTGTTTTCAGCCCCATTGTACAGTCTGATTTACACACATACTGGCCCAAATCCTGTTGCTTAGCATAGTAAATCACACTAAAATAAATCTATTGAATCAATAGGTGTTTAGTGAGTCAACTTCTCTGTAAATTCCATTAATTTAAAATGGACCTAGTTGAATGATGAGTTAATATGCTTTGATGAATTTGAATAGAATTTCTGGAAGATGTGACTCAACAGATCTCCACTGATTCAATGGGCTTATTTTAATGTGATTTAGTATACTAAACAACAGGATTTTGGCCATTGTTGGGAAAACAAAATATTTATCTGGGAGTTGCTGGGTCATTTTTAAAAGGACTGCTACAGTATTCTAAAATTTAGGGTAAAGGGGTCTTTCACAGCAGTTGTAGGGAAATGACAGAAGATTGAACGTGTTTTGGGTTTTGGAACTCTGTGATGTGTTCAGCCAGATGTGTTTACAGAACCTTCTTCAGACCTTTCTGCTCAGATACTGTAAGAGTTGTAGAAGCATGTTCCGGAATGAAGCATGTGTCTATCCATAACATAAATAACCCCTACGCACATTTGGTAAGCACCTGAATAAGACTTTAGATAAACCTATCTGAATCTGTATCTGTACATGAGGAAAAGGAGATGCATTTTTAAGAGATTCAATGGTCTCTCCCAGGAGGTTCACTTAGCATGTTTATGCCATTTTGGTTCAAAGTATTTATATTTTTACTGTCTAAGGTTTTTATCTCACTTGTTTAATCTTTGTTGAGTGCTTCTCTATTGCTTTGCATTTGTTTTGATGCCTAAAAGAAGTGGCTGTATGACCATTGTTGAAAGAAACTTCTCTGAGCTCAACCATATTGGGTAAACCAACCAGTATCCATTTTTTCCATTATTGGGTGAGGTGCTGGAAGGTGTGAGAAGGTGTAATCCAGTTCCAGGAGTTCCTGGATTAAATAGATTATCTAAATCTGTCTCAATCTGTCGGGAGGCATTGATTCATAATGGCTCAAGTATTTCTTGGAGAACTGAGTTTAAAAAACGGTGCTTGTAGACTTTTGCTCAACGCCACCTTGATGTAGTGGCGGGCTCTTCTTAGGAACTGAGGTACAGTGGTGCCCTGCTAGACGATTACCTCATTGTACGACGAATCCGCTGTACAATGATGTGTCTATGGAGAAAATCCACTTTACGATGATCGGTTCCCTGCTTCGGGAACCGATTTTTCACTTAACGATGATCAAAACAGCTGATCGTCGGGTTTCCAAAATGGCTGCACGCTGTGCAAAATGGCTGCACGCTGTGTTAGGGACGGATTCTTCGCTCTACAGGGAGCAGAAAATGGCCGCCCTATGGAGGATCTTCGCTTTACGATGAGGTATTTTGCCCATTGGAACACATTGAACGGTTTTCAGTGCATTTCAATGGACTTTTTTATTTCGCTTGACAAGGATTTCGCTCTACAGCAATTTTGCTGGAACAGATTAACGTTGTCAAGTGAGGCACCACTGTAAATGCCAGGACAGGCAGACCACATGTATTGGGGGGCAGTCCTTGATGAACGTATCATAAAGCTCTAGAATACTGTATTATGGAGATCTCTGCGCAAGCACAGATTAAACCCATTACCATGCATTCACAGAGACCATGAAGAAGAAGCAAATACACAGACTTCCAAAACAATGGGTGGGGAACATCATATTATTATTATTGCATGATAACTACAGGCACCAGATCTAGGCATGTTCCAAACAAAACTGGTTTTCTGGATAAATGTGCTAGTGGTGGACTACAATTCCCATTCCTGATGGTAATCCTAGCTGGGAGTGATGGGAGTTGTAGTCAGGGCATCTGGAGTGTGTTGAGTTGGAGCTGGAGCTGGGAAAGGCTGCTCTCACTTCAGATGCCAGAGCATCGTTCGGAACAATCCGTTGGTCCAAGGGGAAAGCTTCATGCACAAGACTGTAGCTCATCTGCACAGCGCATGATTTGCCCATGGAAGTTCCTTCAGTGTGGCGTTAAAAGGATGTGGAAGACCCCTTCCTAGGAAATTCTAGGAGTCCACAGCCAGTTAGTGTGATCAACACTGGATGGATGGGCAGGTCAGCTGGCCTGGTATAAGGCAGCTTCTGTCATAGGCAGGTTGCTAATGCAAATGAACAATGAACTGCCCATCGAATCAGCATTGCTCTTCATTGTCTTGGGGCACACCTGGACCTGATGCTCACCATGGAAACCCAAGTGGTGTCGGTAGTTCGCAATGCCTTTTTCCACCTTTAGCGGATTGCCCAGCTGCGACCTTACCTTGACATGGGGGCGCTCACTACCTTGGTCCATGCGCTCGTAATCTCAAGACTAGACCACTGTAACGCCCTCTACGTGGGGCTACCTTTGAGGCTGATGCGGAAACTTCAGGTGGTGCAGAATGCAGCGGCCAGACTCCTTATTGGAGTGAGAAAACACCATCCATTTCCACATTGACTTCAAAGTTCTAATGCTTACCTATAAGGCCCTAAACGGTTTAGGACCTCGATACTTGGCAGAGCGCCTGCTCCCACCAAGATCTACTTGGATCACCCACATGAGTCAGGAGATGAGGCTGAGGAGCCTAACACCAAAGGAGGCACAGAGGGAAAAGACACGAAGCCGGGCCTTCTCGGCAAGGGCTCCTCACCTTTGGAACAACCTTCCTCCGGAAATTCGCAAGGCCCCAATGCTGGGTACTTTCAAATGTCAACTGAAAACATGGATGTACATGCAGGCCTTCCCTCCTGTCAACTACTGATTTCTTTGCTTTGCTATTTATTATTTATTTATTCCTGCACTGTTTGTTATTGTTGTATGCTAATGTTTTTATGTTTGTTTGTTTTTTAATTGTTTTTTATATTCTGTAAGCCGCCCAGAGTGGTAGAATATACCAGATGGGCGGGATATAAAACAAACAAACAAACAAACAAACAAACAAACAAACAAATAAATAAATAAATAAATAAATATTGGCCCACTAACACATCCTTTGGTTACATCCTGTGGCTTTCTTAGTTTTGCTCTAGTAGAGATAGTGTTCCTGATAAAGTGTTTCAAAAGTTAATGTAGCAGATTAATTCTGTGCTTTTAATGAGTGTTAAAATGATTAAATAATTAAATTTGCCATTTTCTTTAAACACCAGACGCGGTACATTGCCTCCTGTTCTTTTTCTTTTTAAAACTTTAATTGCATCATCTTAATCGGCTAACAGATTTTGAGTTATTGTAATATAGTTAAACAAAGAAAAACAATACAGTATATGCAAATACATTTGTAACTTTCCCTCCTTTCGTCTACTCACTTCGTTTCCTTTTCAGTTTTTTTAATACAAATGATAAAAGTTAAAACATCTAAGAAACACAGTTTTAAAAAAAGAAGACAGACCACATACAATGTGCACTCCACCATCAGGACCTTTAGAGAGTAACCACTTGAACCACTTATGCTTCTAAGGCTCCCTTCCCTTTCCAAAATTGTATACAGTCTTATTTGTTGTTTCCCCTTTATCAATTCAAAATCAATAAATTCTCCCCATATATCTGTAAACTCATATTTATTAATTATCCCCTTCTTAATTTCAATATTACATGTAAGCTTATTATGAATTGCTATATCCCAAACTTCACCATTTGAGTTCCTAGCAATAATCAGCCTTGATGCTGCTAACATATTAGAAACTAGTTTTCTCCTCATCCACTTATCATCTCCCTTCCAAATATTGATTAAAAGTCTCTTTTAGAACATATGACTAAATTTAAGTTGCTTATTTCATTTATTTCTTAAAACTAATTGCCAACATTTTATATATAAGTTCACATTCCTACCACTTATTTTCATAAGTGCTTGTTTTCTGGCAATCCCTTCAAAAATCTCAGAACAATTATCATCTATTTGATTTAATTTCATTGGAGCTAGATACCATTTCCATATTATAAAAGAGGCCTTTTATCCCTACTGACCTAAATATCAATATTCTAATATGCCACATATTTTTCCAAGCACTACTACTTATTTCTTCTCCCAGATTTCCTTCTTATAATGTTATAGGTAAATCCTCCTGATTTTCCATTTCCAACTATAAATTATACATTTCACTTACTATCTCCTCTCCCACCTGCTCCTCTCCTATGCTTTTCTTCTGTAAAATAATTTCTTCATATTTTGTAGTTTCTCTGTTTATCCGTTCTTTTTATCTATTTCTTGGTCCACTGTTCTAATTGAATAACATTATACCAAGACATTTCATGTTTGCCTAATACTTCTTGTACTTGTTCTTTATTTTTCTAGAGAACCCTTTAATCTCAAGCCTCTATCTAAAGGTCTTCAATTCATTTTTCTAAATTCTCTGGGATTTTTTCCAGCTCTTTCACCAGACATAATGGAGATATTGGTGGTATAAATAATTTTCTATATTTATTCAATATTGTTAACACACGACTAAGAAAAGGATTTTATAGTTTTTAAACTATCTTTTTATTTTTGTGATCTTGTAAGAGGAGGCTATTTACCACATTCATCTGTAGTTCTTGTCCTTCCATAGTCAACCAGATTAATTTATTGGGCTGAGATATAACATCTGAAATATATTTTAACTGTCTGGCAATATGTGAGGCCCCTGTACAGGAGGCCTATGTAGGAGTGCCGTTGCTCCTGTCGCGGACCTGAAATACTCAAACCTCACCCCCTCCTTCTCCATCCCGTCGCGTGGATAAGCAGGTTGACACCACGGAATTAGGATCAGTACTGGAAGAACCGGGGACCAAACAGATAGGGGTAGATACCCAGGACTTATCCCAGGTGCTGAAGGAGTTAACCCTGGCTAAACAGGAGGGAAAGGTTTTGGCGGGAAAAGGAAGGGAGGAGATTGAGGCTGCCATGGGGGATATAAGAGGAAAATGGGAGGAGATCCCAGGCGGCTGGGAATGGATCTGGGCAGAGGATCCATGGACGGGCAAATGGGAACAAGTGAAAGTACCCCATGAAGAGGCGGAGAGGCGAAGGAGGCGAGGTTTGAAACCCAGACCCTCTTATTGGGGTGAAACTGAGGCAAAGGAGTGGAGGCGCAAGTTGAGGGAGGAGAGAGAGGCCGTGCTTAGGGAGATAGAAAAGAAAAAGGCATGGCATTTGGCGGACTTGCGGAAGATGGGGGTTTACCCGGACCCTGGTTTGAAGGCACCGGAGAGGAGTCACCCTTATGGGGATGGAGCGGCGACGAGGAAACCCTTCCCTTGATTCTGCCGGGCAATGAGATCCCTAAAAGTGAAAGGCCAGTGACGGATTTAACTGGACCTTGGACTGTAGGAGAAACCAACCCCTTTGTGGGCAAAGCATGGACACCCTTGCTCCCAGGGTTTGAGGGGCAAGAGAAGTTAAAGGTTCCGTTACGAACAGTTCCTGTTGAAGATAATGTTCCAATAGTGACTCTGTTAAAATGTTCAAACCGTCTCAACCTTTATTGAATGTGACTGACCCACTAACACATGAACCCTCACACAATATAGTATAGAATAGCTTTAAATTAGGCTGACCTAACCTCCACTACTTTTGAGTTATATCATCTCTTCTTATTGATCCTTGATTTCTTATCTTCATTACAAAATTTATTAATCATATTTTGCCACTCATTTAATTCTTCTTCCTTAATCTTCATTGGTAGCATCATAAATTAAAAAGTTAATATTTGTTAGTATCTTCATTTTACTTGGTGTGAATCTGCCAAACCATGGCAACCCAATTTTCTTTAAATCAGTTAACTTCTTTGTAATTACTTGTTTCAATAAATTTAAATGTTCTTCTTTCAGTCTTTTCAAATTGCTAGGAGTATTTATATCTAAATACTTAATAATCTTTTGAATATTAGTATGCAGCTCTTTTCTATTTTTTTCTTTTTTCTTTGTCATAGTTAAAAAACAGCATTTCTGGTCTATGCCGATTTGTTTGCAACCCGGTTACTTCTCCAAATTATTTCAATATAATTTGATCCTCTCTTCAACTTAAAGTATTTTCTATTGCTAACAAAATATCATCAGTAAACAAATTTATCTTACGTCTGTCTTTAATATCTCTATATAAAATCTCTTTTTCTTATCTTACAACATGCAAATACATTTTAAACAAACCTTAATGATCAATGCAAGTATTAAAGAAAGATTATGTGAAATGTTGTTTATCAATAATTCAGCACAGTTGACCTTCCAAAAGTGATTGATGGTGAGGAATTGATGCTTATGTTGTCTCTGTCATTCTGCAGAATTAAATAAAAATACGAAAACTGAAGTTAAAACACTCTTTTCAACCAATTTATCCAAATAATAGACTCCATGTATGAGTTTTTCTTTTCCTGCCAATGTTCAAAATGATATTGTTGGCTGGTCTTCCAATGTAACAGTTTCTTGCTATGCTGCCACCCCCAAGAAGACAATAAAATGTTTATGCAAAATGTCCTTATGATGACCATCCATTTCAACAACATCCACTATTCTTGTTACATATTTATTTACTTCTGGTCATCAATTTTTGTCTGACAGAAATATGATATCTTAAATTATGGTTTATGATATAATTTTAATCAATAGATCAATCTATTACTACAGGTATAACAATCAAAAGAAGTATTCCAGCAAGTGAACCAAAACATGCCACACATGTTTTCTTCTGATAGAGATGCCAGCTCATCGAGTCCATGGTGTGTTTGGTTTAAATATCCAAAGGTCAGAGTTCAGCTTTATTCCAAGTAAAGCAATTAAAGGGAGAAACAGCAGTTTATCATTCAGCATTGGCCCAATTACTAGGACTGTGATCCTTGGCACATTCTGCAAACAAAAATGTTTTCCCAAAAAGAGCGATTACGTAACTGTAACCATAGTTCTTCGAGTGTTCCTCTGTGAATCCACACAAATAGGTTAGACTGCACCTGCGCAGGACTTATTGGAATCTTGAGCTTAAAAACATGTGTTTAGTACGATGTTTCCCTGTGGTGCGCATGCTGTGCCCACCCGTAATACCTCAGTTCTGGAATGTCTGCCACTGTCAAGGCTCTAATAGCAACAAAGCTCAAGAACCAATGTGATGGACAGCGGGGAGGGTGGGCAGGATGTGTGCTTTCACAGAGGACCACTCAAAGAACTATGGTTACAGGTAAGTAACCTCTCTTTCTTCTTTGTGGCCTCTGAATGCACACAAATGGGTGACTAGCAAGCTCACTTAATGGAAGGAGGGCCATCACGCCAACACTGAAGTCAGCACAGCCCTTCCAAAACTTGCTTCCTTTTTGGCCCTGACGTCCAGATGTTAATGTGTCGCAAAGGTTGATAGTATAGACCAGTGGTCCCCAACCTTTTCCGGACTGTGGACCGGCTGAGGAAGACAGGGCACCCCCCTGCCCTTGTGCGCACGCGTGAAGGAGTGCTCGCGCTTGTGCATGTGCATGCGCACTCTCTTGGACACATGTGCAAAGTGGTGGGGAGCGTGCATGTGCCAGCATGCATGGTCCCTCCCCCACCCCTTCACACATGTGCCGTAGTGTCCGCATGCATGCATGCGCGCCCCCATCCCTTCGCTTGGGCACATGCATGAAGGGGTGGGGGAGCGCTCATGTTGGTGGTGGCACTGGCACACATGCATGCACAAAGCAGCTGTGGGGGAGTGCATGCAGGGGTGCAGGAGGTCTGTCTTCGCAGCCCGGTCTGGCTCAGGTCATGGACTGGTACCGGGCTGCAGACCGGAGGTTGACAACCTCTGGTGTAGACCATATGGCCACTCGACAAATGTCAGGGACATCAGTGTCATGTGACCAGGCAGTTGAAGTAGCCATAACTCTCGTGGAGTGTGCCTTCAACACCTCTTGTGGCACCTTGCCAGCCAGTTCATAGGCCAAGATGATAGCAGAAACAATCTACCTGGAAACCATCTGTGGAGAGGCCAGAGCACCTTTTCGTGGGCCACGGAAGCAGACAAATAATTTAGAAGAAGTACGGAAGTCCTTAGTTATGGAAATGTAAAAAGCCAAGGCACGATGAACATCTAAGGAATGGAGCACACACTCAACATCAGAAGGATTAGGAAACAATGTCAGGAGGATTAGTTGTTGGTTAATATGGAAACTCAAAATCACTTCAGGGAGAAAAGACACATCAGGATATAAGACAACCTTGTCCGGGTGAAACTGTATATAAGGGATGTCTGCACGGAGGGCAGCCAACTCCCTGGCCCTCCGTGCAGAAGTGATAGCCACAAGAAACAAAGTTTTAATCAAGAGAAGTTTAAGATGAGCGGAAGCCATGGGCTCGAAAGGTGGGCGAGCAAGAGCCCGTAAAATGACCTAGAAAGACCATTGAGGGAGTGGAGGCCAGACAGGTAGGCGAATGTTACGTAAACCCCTAAGGAACTGCTTTAAAGTCAGGTGTGAAAATAATCATGAAGCTTCTGAACCCACAGACTGATAAGAAACAATAGCAGAAATATAAACTTTTAACATCAAGTGGTCCAGACCTCAATCAAACAGATAACGGACAAAAGTGAGAAGTGTATCCAATGAAACTGGAACAGTTAGAAGACCTCTGGAAGCAGTAAATTTGGTGGAGACAGACCACTTGTAAGAGTACAGCAATTTCGTAGAAGGTTTTCTAGCTCTGTCCAATATTTCTTTTATACTGGGAGAATCCTCCACACCGTCAGGTGAAGCGACTCCAGGTTAGGATGACAGATCTTGCCTCCGTCCTGAGTTAGGAGGAATGGTTTGTTTGTTTGTTTGTTTGTTTGTTTGTTTAACTTCTATGCCGTCCACACTACCCAAAGGTCTCTGAGAGGCTTGGAACCATTAAAATACAATAAAACGATAAGACAATTAAAATACAATTAAAATATATACTCTAAAAATTGGTTGAGGAGGTAGTCTCAGAAACCCGGAGGCGATAAGCCCAAAGTTCTCTGCAGCATTTCCTGATACCACTAAATAGTGGTACCAAAATCTATGGATATTTGCCTATGGTCTGCATAACTTAACATGGTTAATTGTAGCTAAATCACAAGGTGGTGGGGCACATCTTAGTCATATGTCTGGTCAGACACCCAACTACACAACTGAGATAAACCCCAGCACTTCAAGAATTAGCTACAATTAGCTATGACAAGTTATGCAAACCTTGTGTGAACATTCATAGGATTCTAGCCAATGGTTTAGAGTAATTTGTGAAAATCACGTCAGAGTCATGTTTGGAGAAAAACTATGCTGGATGAATACTGGCAACAACTGACATTTACCATGGCAATGATTTCTTTTACAAAAGCATTGCCAAATTGGAAGTGTGGAAATCTGAAATCTGAAAGTTTCTTTCAAGATTGACTAAGTAGTATACGGTTAGATGCTACCATTGCTGGTTTTGTGCCACAGCTGTTATGGCACTATGCTGATTCTGCTAATCAATTTGAACAGTCCAAAGATAGTCACTGTTACAGCTGAATGCAGCTTTGGTAAGCCTTTCATTAGGAAAAGCCTTGGCCTGGGAATCTCCTAGGGCTACAGAGTAAAGCCAGCTTCATTAGAAGCATGACTCAATCAGATTTATTATCAGGTCAGTGTAATTAAAATGGGAATGTAAGGTCTTTGATAAAAACAGCCAATATACTTGGCTGAAAGCAAGTATTTGTTTTCAAATGGGACTCAGTTTTCAGACTGCCCACTCACAACTCAGAGGAAGAGAAACATATTAAGAATTTTCTTCTGACAGTAAGATATTACTTAAATATCAAGTAATATCTTACCCACCTTAAGGGTTATTTCCTCTCATTATAGCCCAAATGCTTTCAAGAATGTTATTGCCTTGATGGCTATGCGGGGGGGGGGCAGATAATTTCCTACTTTGCTAGTAAAGGTAAAGATTCTCCTTGACAATTTGTCCAGTCGTGTCCAACTCTAGGGGACAATGCTCATCCCCATTTCCAAGCCTGTAGAGCCAGTGTTTGTTTCCATGGTCACGTGGCCAGCATGACTAGACATGGAACGCTGTTACCTTCCCACTGTGGTGCTACCTATTTATCTACTGGCATTTTTACATGCTTTCGAACTGCTAGCTTGACAGGAGCTAGGACAAGCGACAGGAACTCACTCCATTGCACGGATCTGAAATGCTGATCTTTCGACCTTGCAGCCCAGAGGCTTTGCAGCTTAACCCGCAGCGCCACCATGTCCCTTTTGCTACTAAGACATCATTTTTACATATTTGATGTTTTACCATGCTTTTTAAAAAAGCCCAAATTCATTGCCCTTCTAAATACAGTTGCCCCTCTTTCTCATGCCTCTTATTGATTGATTGAGTGAGTGAGTGATTGATTGATTATTTATTTATTTAACTTATAAATAGTGCTGTCCACACTACCCAAAGGTCTCTTATGATTATTCAGTTACACTCAATCAACTTTGCTTTTACTTATGAAGGAGAAACACTCTGATTTGTGGGAACACACATGCGTAAGTTACACTAAACCCTTTCAAACCATGAAAGGTGGTTTATTCAATCATTCTTGTGCTTTGCACAGCATTATTATAAATTGGCTATCCAAGTCCTGAAAATGCTTCATTGACAAAATCCAGGAATTACGCAGCCTATGTGTTCACCATACACACATTTTGATTGACCAAGATCATATTTTCTTCCCTTGTAATTTCAAGGAGACTAGCCTTAAAATTACAAAGGAAGAGGTAGCTAAAACCAGGTTCATTCATCCTAAGCATGTGACTTCATATGCAGCATTACATTTCATCCTATTTTTGTCTGTTTAAATTTTACACCAATTTTCTGTGCAGGACAATTCAGCCTGCATACAACACACAGTAAAATAAAAAAATTAAATCATATTAGGAACTGAGGAGGAGGAGGGCAATGACAATGACTGAAGAAGTAGTAGATGTAAAAACAAAATCAGCAGACTAACATTGTATTATGTTATTTCTGCACCATGTCTTATGCAGTTGGCTTATACATGGCCTCAGCCCACCTCTTTATGATTCCCAAGCCAGCTCTGTTGGACTCTTGGAATTTGAAATATTCCTTTACTGGAATGTCTTGTTGTTCTTCAGAACTCTTGCCATCTGTATGATAATTAATTGGGCAGGTGACTCTCCTCTGTTAACTTCAGCCTTGGCAATTAGTAGTTGGTAGGTGGCATCAAGAAAACTGTGACTGAAAGCTAAATCCAGGCAGTTTTTCTTATTTCCGTTTCATGCTTTCTCTTATTTTGTATCTTTCGGTCCCACTGTGTAATGACCATGCCAGGCAATGGTAACGACTGACTTTAGAACTGCTATGCTAGAAAGGGACCCTATGGACAATTGGCTTCAGAGCTTGTCAAGGAGGCACAACAAGGAACTGAACTCCCAGCCAGATACCTAAACCATAGAGATATCTAGCAGTTCATGACATTAGTAAATGACAGTTGATTACATTAGTAAAATCAATAGTCAGTGTTACATGCTGTCAACTTTATTCCGATTTATGACTACCTTAATAGGATTCCTGAATCCTGGGGAGGGAGTTCTAGTAACTTTTTATTTTCCCCAAAGAGCAGCAGTATAGCCACAGCTGATGACATCATCCTTAATACGCTCCCTAAAGTTGGACAAGAGGATTTCAGACAATGATTGTATTGTTGTTACGTGCCTTCAGGTTGGAATCAGCTTACAGAGACCCTAACAGGGCTTTCAAGATGAGATATTTAAAGAGTGGTTTTACCAGTTCCATACTCTCAGTGAGCTTCCGTGGCTGAACAGGGGTTCAAACCCAGGCCTACCGAGTTCTAGTCTGTTACTCTATCCATTATACCACTCTGGGTATCATAGTGATTGTACTGGGGAACAGCAAAAAATTACTGCTAAGGAGCATAAAGTGACAAATACATTTGCTTCAGAAATATTGTGAGGAAGCATCAACTCAAGTAAAAACTTGCAAGGCAGAACGGGGAATAGGGTAACAAAGAAGTCAAAACAAGGGGGAGGGAAAAGCAATAAAGATATATATTTAGCTTCACACTTATACACAAAAGGAAAAATAGATGGGGGACACCAATGCCCAGGGAAATTACATTGATAGAGAGATGTGGAAGTGACAGAAATTACCACTGCTTATTCTCATGAGGCTGTCTTGAAACTGGGGATTGTTGTAACCCAGATGAGGAAATGCAAGAAAGGGAAAGTCTTGGACAGACGTTCCAAGAAATGACAGGATAGCAAAGGTAACACAAGGGTGATAGGATAGATGCCAGAGAAATTTAGGCTTACAGGATTCTCTGGGTCAGTCCTGGATTCAGCAGGTAGGGTGATTCAGCTAGGCTGGATCTCTGATCAGGCCTCAGTGAAGAGAGGACAAAAGAATGTTGGTGATGCTTCAAGAGGAGGTTTTAGGGTAGCTTCAGGAGATGTAAACAGCATGTAGGCCCACACTGCAATGAAAAATATGATTATCTTGTGCTTTTTAATGGTTTTTTAATGTGGTTTGCTACAGTAACTAGCACAGTGGCCCTATGACTTCCTCTAGGGAGAATGGTTTTCCATTTGATGAGCTGCCCTCCTTTTTAAAGTGATGCATCCCATACTCAAACACCCTGTAAATTTTCCTGGTTGAGCAGCAAAAGTAGAGCCTTTGATTTGTAAATGTACCGTATCTAATTAGTCCTCTCACTTTTTTTTTAAGTAAATGGTAGAAGGGAGTCATTTTGTAAGAAAGATTCAAACCACATATACTGACATAATTGCTGATGAATGGTAAGAAGGATACAGCATGGCACATTAACTGTGTGAACAAATGTGATGTCAGTCCTAAGAGTGGACATTCTGAAAGTACTGTTCATATGTACCGTTCCTCTGAAATAACTAATTGTCGCCTAGCTAAATATTTCAACAAAACACAATGATCTCTGTTTATTTTCTTTCTACATATATTCATTTTTATACGCTGCAGAAAATACAGGGCCCAGGGTATTTCAGAGAGTTATTAAACACTGACACTTATTTATTTATTTATTTATTTATTTATTTATTTATTTATTTATTTATTTATTTATTTATTTATTTCTGGTGTTCGTTCTTCTCCGCATTCTCCTTTTTGGTGATGGAACAGTGGTCACTTTTATGGACATCTCCTTCTCCTCCTGGCCTGTTCTTGCACACTAGGCCAATCTTTTCTGCTAGTGAATGTATCACCAAATAACAGAATGGATCAATAGGACCACTGGACCACTGATGGAAGGTATCAGAGTGTATTTTGCTTCTAATCATTCTGAGATGGTAAAGGCAGAATGGAAGTGATTGCTTAGTGGGATAATAGTGCCATAATCAGCTCTATGCTTGTGAGTTATTCACAGCTGATGTCTCATAGAGTACACTGTGTAATTCTGGTTAACTCAATTAAATGTGATTGTACAGAATTATATTTCCTGTAATTTCCCATGCCTTATAAAATCCAGCAAGCTCTTCCTTCCTTCCTTCCTTCCTTCCTTCCTTCCTTCCTTCCTTCCTTCCTTCCTTCATTCCCTGTCTTGTTCTGGGATTGTGGCCTCCATAGCTTTCCAGTTTTCACTGACATCTTTGTGCAATACACCCATACATGCATGCACACAGACACCCACACAAAAGCCATTAGTAGAGGTAAGGGTTTGCACATGCATTGATCAAAACTTGTCATCTGGTAACACCTACTATGGTACTAGCAGTAAGATCTGTTTGATAGGGAATAGACTACCTTGGCAGGTGATGGTCTCTTGCTCTCTGAAGGTATTTAAAGCAGAAGCCGGAAATCCATCTGTGCTGCTTTCTAGGTCTTGCATTGAAAAAGGGGTTAGATACCAGAGGAACTCCAACATTACTTCCATGTTTATGGTTTCAATTTGCAAACAATGAAGATGGAAAAGACACCCATGAAAGACATAGTCTGATGTTACAGCCTTCGTGCACATCCATGCATAAGCCAGCTGTGAACAAGCTTAAGATAACAGGCTGTCATGATAGCGGTGCACAAATTCTGTGACTGAATCCGTTATGTCACCGAACTGGACTAGAGGAGCAATGCTAACAGTCTTGAACTTTTTCCCAATATTCTTCCCGTTTGTGTGTTTTTGTGTGCATATGAACACAAGTTCATATGCACACAAAAGCACACAAACAGACCAACTATGTTTGCCCAGCAGTGGGGTTTGCCAAGCATAATATTGAACATATTTTCCCTGTATCAAGGCAACTATGGGGCATTTAATATGGAAAAGGCTATAAGTGAAAAGGCTAAAGACCCCTCCCACATTACCACTATTACAGTTCCAAATGCCTCAACTGATTTTAAATTGAAGCAATTCTTAGGAGATCCAATCACCTAACAAAAATTCCCATTAGCAGGATTAAGGAGTGTTGAGGCACTCATTAAGTGGAAAATAAATTTCAGTTTCAAAATTGCATGCTGTGTTTTTCTATGGACGGCTCTTGTGACTATCCCACTGGAAAAAAAAACCAGCCTGAGATTGAGGACACCAAGTCAGAAAGTAGAATTGCATCCAAGGAAGCTGAGACTTCTTAAGCGGCAATAATGTCTTGCCCTCATAACCAATGGAAATGGTCATGAAAGCAATGACAAAGGCCTAGTAGGCAGCCTTCACTAAATTTGTGACACCAGGGGCCCTGGAACCATTTCCCCAACATTCATATCTGTCCACGTTTCAAACCCCTAGTTTTGCCAACTGATTACTTTGTATTCCATGCCACAAAACCAAAGATTGCCCTGAAAACAGGAAGTCAAACTGAATTGTTATTAAACAGACATTTTAACCTGCATGGTTTAGGGAGATATAAGCAGAAAACATAATGGAGTGAGGATATCATTTTAGTAATTTAAATTTATTCAGGTTTCCATGGGCTGAAAGTTCCTGTGCAAGACAGTGTTCAAATATACAGTCACCTACAAACCTACCATCTTATACATTATAATTCAACACTCTCATGCAGAGGATATGAAAGCTAGAATATGAAATTAGCTGTAAATTATAGCCTGAGCTACCCACCCACCCCCCCCTTTTGTTTTTTCTGCTCAGACCATGCAGGCTGAAACTTCTATATACTGTAATTCACAATATCAGTGGTATGTCATGAATGCTCCCTCATGTTGTCCTGGTAAAGATGTGGCTTAGTTCAGAATCTAGTCATGTCTGGAACAGGCACACTGAAAGCAGTGTGACTTTAGCTTAACGTATGTCCTGTTTATTTCAATGGGCCTGCTCCAAGCAGGACTAGATTTAAAATACGCTTAATAGCGAAAATCTTTGTCGCTAGATTTAATGACACAACACAAACATTAACTTGGGAGGCAAATTGTCTCATATTAAGAAATTGCCATAGATATACATAGGTGCCTTTATTTAATTTTTTCCTAATTTGTGTCAAATATAATATAGTTAATCATTTTCAAAGTCTTCATTTGCCTGTGATCATTTTTCACACAAACTCCACTAGCCTTCCCCCCCCCCGACCAAAGTTGTCATCATCTGCATGATGTTTCAAAGACTCTGAAAACACACCGACAGACTTTGCTTTTCAGATAATACTTACAATAGGTGGTGGAACCAATAATGAGTGGCAATGCTTATGTATCAGTCCACCTTATCTGCTGGTTAAACACAGATAAAGTATGCTTTAAGGTAACAATAGTAAGTTAAAAACCTAATATTACAGTATCAGATAATGTATTGCTGATCACCAGTGTACAAAATCCTTGTGATTACTGCAACGTCTGGGTGAGGGATGGGACTAACAACATTTGCTTCAAATGGATTTCTCTCATGTCAGCAGTTGGCAGACAAGGATCTGGTTTAGTTTGTTTTTTCTGCTTGAATCTTTGTTATTTAACAAATACATTTTACCCTTCAAAGTAAACTGCATAGCTAACACATAACTTAAGGAGTATTTGATATCCGCTAAATCAGTGGTCCCCAACCTTGGGCCTCCAGATGTTCTTGGACTTCAACTCCCAGAAATCCTGGCCAGCAGGGGTGGTGGTGAAGGCTCCTGGGAGTTGTAGTCCAAGAACATCTGGAGGTCCAAGGTTTGGGACCATTGCGCTACATAATTGAAAGTATAGAGTTTCCTTAAAAATATAATCAATGCCTTGGTGAATCAGATCATGGTTCACATCTCTCAACCTTCTTTTAGTTGCTAAAATAATTGAGATATTCACCATCTCTTGGGGCTAGTGCTGTTCCAATGACTGCCGCTGCAGGTTGTATGTATGGCTACTGATAAGATAATGGCTATGTATTAGGTGTAGTGAGTGAAAAAAATGTCCATTCCCTATAGGGCAAAGTGGTAAGGATAAAAGCAAGGTAAGAATAAGGCTTGCTGAAGTGGTGCCTGTGCTCTCAAATACTACTATCTCACAATTAGGAATATAATTTTCCTACAGAGAATTGCAAACTGACTAAATATTTGGCCAAGAAAATAACTGTAAATACAGAGTTGTCTAAATGTCAAATTATATATTTCCCCTGTCCACACAAATAAAGTAGCTTTTTCACATAAACAAATTAGTGGTGCTCAGAAAATACACACTACTGTAGACCTAATGCAGCCAAACCATATAGTAGTATAAAAAACTAAACATACACAGGCAAAGTGGACACATGCAAGCATGTGAAACACATCCATGCACAGAAGAAAAATACTTCTCTGCAAGATACACCACTTTCAGCTTACCTTTGGTTGGGTGGGTGTGTTTGTGGATAAAAGTTTTAGACTTGCAAAGTAAACTGCATAGCTAACATCATAACACTCTGGCCAGCAGTCATGTCATTTCGTTTCTAAGAATAGGAGTAGCATTGGGAGGCCAGCTACGTTGGCTTGGGCACGTCGTGAGAATGGCTGATGGTCGGATTCCAAAGGACCTCCTGTATGGAGAATTAGTGCAGGGAAATCGCCCCAGAGGGAGACCACAGCTGCGATACAAGGACGTCTGCAAGCGAGATCTGAAGGCCTTAGGAATAGACCTCAACAGATGGGAAACCCTGACATCTGAGCGTTCAGCCTGGAGGCAGGCACTGCATCATGGCCTCTCCCAATTTGAAGCGACCCTTGCCCAGCAGGCCGAGGCAAAGAGGAAATCACAAAAGCAGCAAAACCAGGGAGCTGGACAGGGGAGAGATTGGATTTGTCTTCAGTGTGGAAGGGATTGTCACTCTCGAATTGGCCTCCTCAGCCACACTAGACGCTGTTCCAAGTCCTCCATACAGAGCACGCTACCATAGTCTTTCGAGACTGAAGGATGCCTAACTAACTAACTGGGAGGCCAGCACTTCACTTTATCAATGTTCTGTTTTTTTTTTTCCCTACAAAGGCAGGCAGGTCAGGGAGGCTGGTAGACACTAAAGGAGAAGTCACATAGGCACCACATTAGAGCCTGTATTGCTGCATGATCTGCCAGCACATGATCAACAATCGACCAGTGAACCTTACAGTCCCCTTGCTTTCCCAGCTGTTGTACTGTATATACATTGAATTGTAAACTTTTGTTTTAAAATGTTGATTTCATAAATGTGTTTTGGTTCCTTTCCTATTGGCATTTTAAGTTTTTTTCTGTAAACAACACCCAAATTCACATGAATACTGCATTCTTTTATATGTACCATTTATTTTTGAGATTCTCTGCCACCTCTGTGTTCTGTTAGGAGGATATACTTTATCTATGGAGTTGTTTTCAAGGGGGAAAAAAGGGAAACTCTCAAAATGACTAAAATGCAGTGTGTCCTCCCTGTTAATTCAAAATAAAAATACTCAGCTACATTTTCAGTTTTCCAGGCCAATGTATTTGCAGTGTAATTAACTGCTAAGCTTGAGTTCACGGTTACTTGCATGTATTTTCCATCACACTGATCTGCAATGCAAATTCTAAGCTTCTTCATCAAAGCTTCCACACCACTTAACAGTTCACCCACTGACCTAGTATTTCAACATCTGCTTCCAAAGGATTATCTGCAACGCCAAAAGGAATTGCTAACCAGGGAGGTAATCTTGAGGAGTAACCCAAGTTACAGCACCATCTTCAATTTGCACCTCTCTTCTTCAATAATCTCTTTTGTGAGACCCCTCCCACTTGCTGGTCATGTTCTATTTGCTTTTTCACACTTTTGTCCACACAAATGCTGCAATCTGGCTGCATGAGAAGACAGGATACAGCTGTTGAGTTCAGTGTGTTTGTTTGGCAGAGCTAAGGTACGTTGTTTTTTTTAACTACAAGTCCCAGTATTCTCTAGCCAGATGGCCACTGCTCATGCTCTCATCTCAGGATCCTGGGATTTAGTTTTCAACAAGGCAACCTTTCCAAGTTTTGGCGTTTTTTGTTTGTTTGTTTGTTTTGTTTTTGGTAGTTAACCAAATGGAAGAAAACACAAAAGGTACATTGCACTATGTCAAAAGAGGACCCTTAAGCTGTTTGGGCCCCAAGGTATGAACTGCAACTGTTTTTCAGTTGTACAATTCTTCTATGAATCGCAAAACCACCTTGAACAGTGTGCTTTGTTAGAACAACTGGCAAGCCACAGAACAGAAGGCTTTTTGGCAGAAAGCTCCTGAAAGGAGGTGAGGCAGGATTTTCACACTGCAGTGTCACGTGATGAGGACAAACGGTCAGTGGGGCCCCTTAAAAGCACATTTTTCTTGTAGCAGCATTTCATCTCCAATGGCATTCTCTGTTACTAAGTGGAGCTAAGCCCATTTCCCCACCCCCTCCTTCTAAGTCTTTTATTCCTCCAGTGAAAATGCTATTAGCATTTGCCTAATGCATACAAATTCCTAGAAAGCATGCAGCCAGCCACATGCATTCAAAGATTCACAAAGGAGTCAAGGCTTTGGCTTGCCAAGGCTTTAGCAGGGTGGGGGTTGGGATGAGAGGAGGGATAACAGTCCTGTATGTCAGAAGCATTAGTGCAAAAGGATGTTTTAACTTACAATATGCAAGAATATACAATAAACTCAAAATGGGGAGAACTGTAACAATGACAACAAGAATACAAAGGTTTAGGGCTCAGTTCCAGCTGATTTTATTTCCTTTGGAGAGGAAAGGTTATTTACAGAAAGTGTACTGACAATCTGACAGGCAATGAACTTGGCTTAATCAGCCAATTCTCCCCCCCCCTCAATTTTATGGGCAGATTGTTAGACAAAGATATTCAAAGATATTCCACACAGCATATTGCACGGGATGAATGACCAAAAAAATTTAAAAAGAAAAAAACCCTTAACGGAACCTTCTCATTAGGCAGATGTCCTAGCGCCTGTTATGTTATATTAACATACATAAACACACAATCTTTTTTGCTTATTATAATACAGACTTAAATGTACAAAGATGTTTTCACTTTTTTTCTCATCTTAAACACAACAGCTATAAACCTGAATACATATGCTATCATCATGCCATAAGAGACTAAAACAATTATATTTAGCGACAAGTAGAAAGGATTAAATAGTCAAATACAAGAATGAAAAAATGCAGTACATAGTGTCGCGAACTCAAATCGGCATTTAGATAGATCCAGTGATTTAAACGGCAAGGGTTTTTGTGTTTTATTTTTTTTCTTATAAAAAAGTGCAAAAGATGTGGTTTACAAGTTAAAGCTACAGGATCCCTTTTTTTCCTGAAAATACTCCAGTTGCTTCTGTAAAAACATGTTATTCATTTCGAGAGGGTGTTTTATTTCAGAAATTAGCCCTACAGTGAATAGATTCAACCCCCTCTCCCAACTCCTTAGTAGAGTTGTATAGTGGATACAAGGGATGCTGTCTCTTTAAGAAGCCTGCAGATCGGAGTGTAAACATGATGAAAAGTAGGGGCTGATTTTGTGTGTGAGAGAGATTAACCAGCAGCCCTGTTATAATCAGGAAATCCAAAACAGCAATTTACACCCCTTATATATTTTTTACAAAAATACACTGAGAAAATAATCAAACGTTTTCATCTCTCTTCTCTCGTTTTTTAAAAGTGTCAAAAGTCTACATTTAAATATAAAAAATTAAAAGTTAAAACTCTAGCCCTTCAGTGAAGGTGACATAAAAATGGTGTGGGTAAGAACAGAACTAGCAAAAAAAAGGACTAAGTAATACAAGTAAAAAATGTTTGGCCAGTATAAATACTTCACTTATAAAATGGCATCCAATTTCATTTACAAGGAAAAAAGAACATTCCAAGAATGAATCATGGTGTGAAAAGAAACAAAGTCTTCATTTACAACTATAAAGGAACACACATACACACATGCACACAGACACTGAGGAAAAAATTTGGTCCTGATTTTTTAAAAGTCCAGCACAGATTTGAGTTGCGTTTGAATCCCTTAAGAGTTAAGAATGAAAAAAAGCTGGTGATAATTTTTGTAGGAATCAAACATAGCGCCATCTATCTGCTTTTTATATTATTCTAACACTATTTTTTTAAACTGTTCAACAGTCTTACAGAAACCTCATAAAGATAGGATAACATGCTATATTAAACCCCACCAGTGAAATAATCCAACACCACCACGATTTTGAGTAAGAAAAACACATTTTCGCAAGAAAGAGCAACTGCCCTCTATTTCCGCTGTACCACATTGTTACAGAAACTCAGCTTTTATTTTCTCTATCTGCCTCCATTAAAAAAAAAAACAAAAAAGTTCAGTGTTGCTGAAATTTCACACATACTGATTTCTCTGTCTATAATATAAGGTGACTGCCACCTTCTCCTTTATACGTGCAAATCCTTTTCGGTTTTATTATTATCTTCTTAGCCTCGCTTCCAGTTCATGTTTTCTAATGCTTCCCTCTTTTCCTTTTCCATCCCACTTTCAGGATTTCAGGTCCATTTCCTAGGGCCCCTCTCCCCACTCCTCTTCTCTCCGTGTACAACAGAAAACCCCCTCAAAGCAAACTAGGACTCCCCACCCCCACCCCCACATACATGGCAAGTCCTGGGCATTTGCTGA